TATCAGCAGTAACAACACTACTGGCTGAAGAGGAACCACTATTTGTCCAAACTTCTAATGGTCCTGTGTGAGCTACACTATATCGATTCCTTGTCTATCATTACAATGATCTGTACTGAATGCAATGAGATGTTGAGTGTTTGATGGGGAGCCACGATGGGTAGTGTTTCAGAGCACTGCCTTCGCAGTGACGTTGGGTGGACTCTCAGCCAGCGCAGCACCTTCACCGAGTTGCTGTACAAGCTAAGCCTGAAGGTGGATGGGATGATGAAGACATATCCGTCATTATTAGGGTGCAGAACATCTCACTGCGTAGGCAAGTGTGCTCAGCCTTCAAATGCAAGGTATGTCATCAATAACTGTTCTGGATTCAAAGAAACTCTTTCGATCCTTTTGTTTCAAATTTGGGTCCCTTTCATTGAGTACGAATGGACCTGCCACATGTTTGTCACTTTGGCTGCCATCCATAAAAATTAAAGATGGATCCAGGAGGCCAGGAACTGACGTCCAGCTCTGAAGGAATGGGAGGCCAGCATAGAGTCACAGAGTGATAGAGACGTACAGCACAGAAACATACTCTTCGATCCAACTTGTCCATGCCAACCAGATATCCTCAATAAATCTAGTCCCATTTGCCAGCATTTGGCTAATATCCCTCTAAACCCTTTCTAATCATCCACCCAGCCAGATACATTTTAAATGTTGTAATAATATCAGCCTCCACCACTTCCTCTGGCAGCTCATTCCATACACGCACCACTCTCTCCATGAAATAGTTGTCCCTTAGGTCCCTTCTAAATCTTTCCCCTCTCACCTTAAACCTCCCCCACCCTGGGGAAAAGACCTTGGCTATTTATCCTATCCATGCCCCTCATAATTTTATAAACCTCTAAGATCACCTCTCAGCCTCCGATGCTCCAGGGAAAATAGCCTTAGCCTATTTAGCCTCTCCCTATAGCTCAAACCCTTCAACCCTGGCAACATCCATGTAAATTTTTTCTGAACCCTTTCAAGTTTCATAACATCCTTCCTCTAGTAGGGAGACCAGAATTGCACACAGTATTCCAGACGTGGCCTAACCAATGTCTTCTACAACTGCAACATGACTTCCCAACTCCTATACTCAATGCACTAACCAAGAAAGGCAAGCATACAAAACGCCTTCTTCACTATCCTATCTACCTATGACTCCACTTTCAAGGAACTATGAACCTGCACTCCAAGGTCCCTGTTCAGCAACACGCACCAGGACCTTACCATTAAGTGTATAAGTCCTGCTTGATTTGCCTTTCCAAAATGCAGCACCTCATATTTATCTAAATTAATCTCCATCTGCCACTCCTCGGCCCATTGGCCCATCTAATCAAGATCCCGTTGTACTCTGAGGTAACCTTCTTCACTGTCCACTGCAGCTCCAATTCTGGTGTCAACTGCAAACTTACTAACCATTCCTCCTATATTCACATTCCAAACCATTTATATAAGAGGAGGAGGAGCACTCAGCTCAGGGAAAGCACATGGTCCCCTCAGTATATGCGGTGTGCACAGGAGGACCAGAGTTTTCCAGCCCTGACTCCATTTGCTGGGGTTGAGGGAAGCGCATTGCCATCACAGACTCTGTTTGTCCTGTGACACCGTGACAGAACGGTGTCGGATACTGGAGTAGAAGCTGAGGGCTGCAGGAGTGGGAAGCCTCCCTCTCCTGGTGGCTGTGAAGAGCACTGTCCACTGAACTTCCATGCTGCTTGATCCTTCTAGGGCGCGATGGATGACCTGTTTGGGATCTCTCTCCAGCATCAGGACAATGACCATTGACATCTGTGCAAGATCACACCAAGGGTCATTTTATTCTCCCCATTTAGGGTTCAGTCGGATTCAGGAACTTGGCTGGGTTCCCCAGGTGCAGGGTGCCATCGATGGCACACACTGAGAGGGCAGTATCACAATGCTGTGGAAGGGGTTCTGTTCCGTTAATGTCCAAATGATCTGTGATTGCCAGTGCCACTTCCTGGAGGTGTGTGCCCACAACCCTGGTAGCTGCCATGACTCCAACATCCTGGAGCACTCTCATGTACCAGGTATATTTGAGGGTTGAGGTACTTTACTGAGCTAGTTACTAGGGACAAGTGTAACCCACTGTGACCATGTTTCAGTCCGCTCAGAGTGTGCTCCATCATCCTGGCAGCTGTGCTGTGTGCTATTACAGCAGGCAATGAGGAGATGTCCTGGATACTGAAGAACCAGGCGAATGGGAGCAATTTCCTGGGGAGGAGGGTGAGGGCATTGGGAAAGAGAAAGCTGTTGTCATCCTTAACAGAGCTCAGCTTGGTTAGGTGCTACAAGCCATACAGGATCTCATTGACAGCCACTTCCAACAGGTGAGAGCTGGGTGCAGCAGGCTGTCCAATATTCCTGTTGCCTTTGTTGGCTTTGTTTGTGTTCCCTCTTTTTGTCTTTGTGTTTGTCTGATTCCTTGCTTCTACGTGACATTCCCCAACTGGACAACGGCAAGCTGTAAGTCTCCAGTGGGCACTAGGGACAGGGAGCACTGACCTAGAAAGAGAATTTTGATGGAACGTAGCTAAGGACAGTGAAGTGTATGGTCTGATGGTTAAAGAACGACCGGTTTGAGGGAATGGAGTTATATGTGTGAGGGAGGCTTTGCCATTACCTTGCCAGTGAGAGCCAACACCACATTGCCAATATTTATTCAGGTGGAGAGAGGCCTTTCAAAGATGGTGCAGGTGCAGGAGATGTCTGTGTTTTGGCAGATATCCATTGGCTGGCAGGTTTCTCTGAGAAGAGCACATGCTAAGATGGGGTGTAACTGGATGTGAGAGACGCTGTGAGGGTGGTGTAAATAATGATTGAGATGTACTCGGTGAGATGGGGTGAGAAATCTTGCGAGGCATCAGGGTGAAAAGCCTTCAAAGACTCAACGTAATTCAGACATAGCCAAAAAAAAAGGCAAGATTCAACCCAAAGTTCTGCAAAAGAAATTGAACAAAGGTTAAGCAAACCACTTCATGCTGCTATGTAGTGGCTATCTAAGTTGTAATTTCCATTGACAGTAGGATGTCAACAATCCAAAAAGACGTTTTGCCGACCACACAATTGAGCAATGCGACATGTAAATTTCGGTGCCTGTGTGATGCAGGTACAAGGGATATGTTATTCAGTTGATCCAATCAAACAATTTGACACTTCAGTTGTTGGTAAAAGGTAGATTATGGAGCACATTAAATCAGTACAAAATTCGAACAAAACATCTGCTGTTAGATGTGATTCTGCATTTTGGCAGCTCTTGCTGACTAATGCTGAGTATGATAATAGCAATACTAACAATCAACTTAATGTAAACAATGAAGTCCATTAATGATTTCTCGAAGTGTTAGCCCTCACTGGGATAACACATTGGAAACGAAACCCCAATATTCCAAGAGATTTTTATCAAAGTATACAGAATTCCCCAATTTTTCTGTCCTTTAGACCCAGAAAGTGTGGTCAAAGTTTTTGAACTTAATTAGAATGACTTTTTATTACAAATAAATTGTTTTGAACTACAGATAAACAATTATGAACCATGACTACCAGATAAAAGTCTAATCCCATTATAAACCCTGCCTACATACTCATATACTCATACATACAGATACAGACAGTAAAAAACGTGGGTGTTATGGGTGGAGGGAAAGACGGAGAAGGCAATTCGGTGGTGCCTCTCCTCTGGGTTTGTTGAGGTGGTCCTTTTCCTGGTCAGAACACTGCTGCTCAGTCTTCCTTCTCCAGTTGCATTTATTTGACTTGCAGGATGACTGGTTCACATTTATAAAGAACTTTGAGGCATCAATTAAAACTTATCGTATACAGCACCTAGAAAGGGGAAATAAACTGGCTGTCTTTTTACTGCCGAGCAAAAACAGTTCATTCTCCTCCAGAAGTCTGATAGTTTCTGCCAAACATTCACACTCCCCAAGCTGTTCAGCTACCTGGGAGCCAACCACATAGTTATTGGCAGGTAGAAGGCCTTTATCATCAATAATTATTGTCCCACAGACCTATCAGCTATTTGTTGTCAGCCAAATATCCATTTGTACACATACCATGGCTCCAGCTCATCTACAAACTAGGTTTGCACTATTGCTTGAACAAGCAGCAGTGTAAACAATACATGCAATTAGTGTCCAGTTACTTGTTTTTAAAAACTGCCTCAATCCTACAATAATCCTCAGCTTTTAAAACAGTTCATTCTCATTTAGGTCCACAATCAAAAGTACAGAGAAATAAAAAGACACAGTCTTTACAGAAGGAACCGTTCCCTACAAACAGAAAGGAACATGTTCAAACCTGGTGCCTTTTTGAATTGCCTTGGAGTTTGGGGAACTAATTGACTCCATGGCAATACACCAATTGCTCAGCATCCTTTTCCCCTGTAGTGTAAGTTGTAGTGGTTATTTTGAAATTTGATTTTTGTGAGTTTGCCTTGATGAGCACAAGATGTAAAGCTTTGGCCACATGTCTCCTTTTCAACAATATTCAAGCTATGAAAGATGAGGGTCATTGGATAAATTTGGTTCTTTTAGCTTATGGATCTCCACAGGGATCGTAATTCCACTATGGGATAGTTCTCAAAATTTCTGTGGTAGAGATGAATCGACAACTCTGGGTCAAGTTAAGAATATCTATTAGCAGCTCTGCAGCTTTTCAGTTTGATTCTAAAAGACTTCATTTGTAAACTTTATTGGTGTCTTGTAGCATTTAATAAGAGTAGTTATTGCCATCCCATACAAAAATAAGGAGAATTTGAGAGTTTTTTTTAAAATTAATTCAGTTAAATGCTCTAACAATGGCTGTTGAATACATGCACTTTGAAATGTTACGTTGCCTCGATACTGAGTAAATAAGGTACATAATTTAAGAATGTCTGTGGAAATGTATCTGTATCATATTCTGAAGGCAATTACTTTGGGTGAAAGCTTTGTGTTTTTGTTTGCTTCCAGGAAAGGCACACTTCTCTTAAATAATGGATTTGCAATTCTTGCTGCTTTATTGATGTCCTTGAGTGAAACTGCTGGCTTCTTCGAAATGCTGATTCTGGGGCGTTTTATTATTGGAGTGAATGGAGGTGGGAATATTTTCATTCCTATTGAGTTAAGCTGTTTAGTTATGTTTTGAGTTGCAAAAGTGTGTTTGTTTATACGGACTCCCCAGGGAAAGAGGGCATTTTCAGGGTCTTTTCTCATCTGCCTGGGACGATTACGGCGGGTGACTAAAGGAAAATTAGATTAACTGAAGTTTACACCTGAAGAGAATGTATGCTGGTTTCCTCTTGAAATAAACATTGCACATGCAAGTGAAAGAACACAAGTGTTTGCATTTCACTCCAAAGCAACGAAACGATAGCTGCAGGAACTTGAAACTATTTCCCAAATATAGGTCATTCCTACTGAATTTGCCTCTGCAAAATTGGATTTTGATAGTAAGATTATTTATTGTTAAGTCAGAAACAAAAATCCTTCAATTTGTACATGGAGCTTTCGAACCAGTTATTAAATTCATCTTCTAACCCTTCTGCAGTTGTGTGCTGATTTCCTTTAAAACGAATAGGGTGTATTCTAACGTATGTATTCTAGGAGTAGTCTAACCAAGCTCCTATACAACTGAAGCAAGACCTCCTTCCTCCTGTATCCAAATCCTCTTATAATAAAAGCTAGCATTCCATTAGCCTTCCTAATAGCTTGCTGTATCTGAATGTTAGCCTTCAGTGACTTATCAACAAGGGCACCCTAGGTCCCTGTGAACATTTATACTTTCCAACAACTTATTTAGGAAATACCCTGTACATCTGTTCTTCCTACCAAAGTGGATAAGTTCACATTTTTACACATTATATTCCATCTGCCATGTTCTTGCCCACTTACAAAGCCTGTCCAAATCCTCCAGAAGCCACTTTATATCTTCCTCACAGCACACATTCTCACTTAGCTTTGTATCGGCTGTAAATTTGGAAATATTACATTTGGTCCCTACCTCCAATCATTGATATATACTGTGAACAACTGGTCCCAAGTACAGATCCTTGCAGTAACCCATTAGTTCCAGCTTGCCAATGTGAGAATGAGTCAGTTATTTCTACTCTCTGTTTACTGTCTGTTAGACAATCATTACTTCATGATTGTACATTACCTTCTATCCCATGTTCTTTAATTATTTTCAACCAATCTCCCATGGAGGACCTTAAACCCCCTCCTGATTTGGTCGCCATGGTGGGTGATGTCTGTGCATGAATCACGGTGACATCAGTGACACATGAACAGACACTTCCTGTGGCCTGTTGTGATCAGCTGACATCATGGCCGGCTTCTTCATCTTGTGTTTTAGACGATGGTTAGAAATGGGTCTAGGGTCTGAAATGGAAGTTTCTCTTGCAAGGTCTCTGTCTTCCAACCAGGTGAGACTGCACCAAGAGTCAAGAATTTTTTTTCAGAGTTCTTTTTGAAAACTTTAATTAAGTCATTTTCTGCATTAGGAATAATCACTCTGTTTCCAATATACACTACATACATGTAAAATCTGATGTCATTGTTTGCAGACTCAATATTATGTCCCTGGGTCCTTTATAATAACCAGATACAGTTTTCATTTAACATGAAGTTATTAACCATTGATACTTTCCTGTGAATGGCATTATTTTATCAAAGACTGGAATGCTTAATATAACATTGACAAGCCCCCATTGAAAAAGCATTCAAGCGGGGTAAAAATCCCGATTGAGACATTGGATAATAGACTCAGAGTTTGAATTTAAGACATAATTACCATCTTGCCCTTTAGATAATGATTATAAACAATCCAACACTTCAACATAAGGTTCTCTTGTAAGGCCTCTCCTGTTTCATATAGATGAGTGACTGTGAAAGTGGTCAAAATACTTATTTTACAGAGGTAACGTTGAAAAATGCCTTGTTTAATTTTGCCAGGCACTACGTTTTGATTTCCAGGGCTGTGTTTTCTTTCCCTTCTCATGTAACTAGTTCAGCACACTCTTTTCCCTTAGCTTCTTGTTTTTTATTTCCTTTTCCCAATTTAAGTATAGTTTCCAATTTTCAATCATAAGCTAGTATCTGACTTAACTCAAAATCCAACAATTTGGCACAATGAAACAGAAAGTTCTGGTCTAAGCTAGACATATTTTTGCCCGCTTGCTGATTCTTCTTCGAATTGAAGTGATTTAAAAAGAAATGATGAATGAGCAGAGCCTGCGATAAATAATGACTGTATAAATGGTTTCAGGGTTCTGTGGCTTTAAAGGAGGATATGCTGCCAGTACTGATATGGGCTTTGAAGTCATTGTGTAATGGCAAAGAAACTGGCTGATAAAGTAGGAAAGTGCCAAAACAATCAACACCACAGAGGAATATTAAAAGACACTTCTGAAGGAATATGGAAAGGAATATTGCTCAGAATTACAAATCTTACAACATACCCAGGTGTCAGCCTTGCATTAGCGGTGTTGTGACTGAATCTGAAGTTAGGGAGTGAAATCCCCATTCCAGGGAATCGGACACAAAAACTCAAGCAACATTCCAGTGCAGAAGACAGGGGATGCTACGCTGTCAGAGATGCCATCTTTTGAATGAAACATTAAACTGACCCCCACTGCTCAGTCATTTACCTGAAACATTGGGCAGAATTTACAGGGGTGAGAGTGACATGGGCTATGGCAAGATGTGTGACAGAATTGAATGAGAAGACAAGTGAGCCCTAGCTTGATTTTCTATCTTTTATGCTTTTCACAAGTGATGTTTTGAGTTTTGCTGGTCAGTGGTGAGTTGCCAATTAAGGGAGATCATAGTTTGTTAAATGCCTCAGCAAAGCCACAATTTACCTCGTTAATATTCAGCTTCCTATCTGACCAAACCAGGCAAGCAAACTCAACATCAGGAGCACTTGCCATTGGAAACCAGGCAAGAACCTGGTAGGTTCAGCTCACTGCTTGCTCCAAAACACTTCCATATTGGACATTGGGCATCAACATTTCAGGGCATGCTCCATGGGCACTGTTTACATGCACCCCATGTCCATGGACATTAGCATTTGATGTTTGCCAGCCTCTAAGAACCCTCATAGCACATCTCTGATCCACTTACAGGACACTACTGTACTTCAATGCTGAACATGTAGATACCATTGTGATGCTGCAGCAATGACACCGTGAGCTCAGGGACGCACACTCAGATAATGGACTGGACCAGCCTGTTTGCTCACTAACATAGCACTCACTCACTTGAATCTACCTGGATGTCCACAGCAATCCTGCCTTGCATTGCCTTGCCTTTGTGTGCTCTCCTACCCCTTCCTCAGCCAGAGCTATCAGGTTCATATTGATCTTGCTTTGCCATTTAGCACAGAGACAAAGCCAGGCAGCTTGTCATGGCCTTGGTGAAGTTGAGGGAAATAGCCTGCTTTCAGGGCTCTGTGCCACGGTAGGTCAAAGGCAGCCTCTGATACTAGTCCGGGGACTTGGGCAGTCAGTGAGCTGCTTGGGGTGGTCAGAATCAGGATGCTTTGTGCATTAGGGTTGAGGAGCTGAATATCAGGAAGCCCACCTCCCATCTTGACTCTTGCTGCCCTGTTGTGGTTTGCAGGTATGAAGGGTAATAAAAATGGATGGCACAGGTGCTACTTTTGGTGTAGGCAGAGAGGTGTCCTGAGCAAGTGAGTGGACAGTGCAGAGGGGGAGCAGGGTCAGTGATGTTGGCTTTGAGGTGGGTAAGGGTGAAGTGAGCAAAGTTTCTGTAGCTATTATTGAGAGTGGTAGAGCATGAGCCAGGCTGGGTGGTTGGTACAGGAGCAGAAGTAGAGTGTGAGGTATCAGAGGGAAGATGGGATAAACAACACTTCTGCTGGAGGAGTGGAGAACATCATTGGCCTTCCTCCTATGTGCACTACTGAAGAAGGTAAAGACTGCACTGCTCCAGGTGGCAAATGCAAACTACGATGGCATGGTCTGGCATTGTGATATCCATTGCTAGTCCTGGGGAAGAGGAAGTCCCGAACTTGCACCACCCTGTTCAGTAGGTCCTTGAGGCCCCTGCTGACAATGGGGGTGGGTGGATGGGGGAAGGAGGCAATACCGTCCTCCCTGTCTGCCACAGCCGGCACTGTGCAAAGCAGCTGTGGACTGATGGTGCTCATCCAGATGCACTATGGGCTTTCAAAGGCAAGAGATGCTGGTCTTTTGGTAGATATCTGGTGAATGACGAGTTGTTCCAGAAATAGCATGTGGGAAGATTGGAATAAAATTGGACATGAGGGGTGCCAAGGGGTGGCATTAGTAGTTAATGGGGTGAGTTTGGAAAGATACAATGGACTTCATGGTGCGAATCTCTTCTAAAAAAACACTCGACACAACTCAGCCAATAAAACATAAGATTCAACCCATTAACTCCATTCCTCCCTCCACAAATGCTGCCTTAGCTGTTTATGGTACTTTCTGTTTTTAATTCCATAGTTCCAGCATTTACAGTATTCAGCTCTTGTTCTAGAAAGATACGTTGATGGGGATTTGATCAGAAGGATGATAAAATGTTTGAGTGGACCATTAATCTGCTGAGCTGAACAGGCTGTATCTGTGCTGTACTAAAACATTCCAGAAAGTCAACCACAGAAGATCCAGTGTCTTTCCATGCAATGTTCTTGCCTATATTTCTAACCATTTTTTGGAACTTAATGTCATTATGCGGCATTGCACAAATATTTGAGATATTCCATTAACAAGAACATGTTTTAAGAGTTGGAGAAACACGATGTAATGAAGCAACCTGCTGAGATAAAACTGTTTGTTGGAAATTGACTTATCTCAGCATGCGTATATTACCAGCAATCCAACATTGTGTTATTGCAGGCAATCAGACAGACCCAAATCTGCACACTGTTTACAGATATTGCTTGTTGCTGTGTTTAACTGTACGCATATTGTTTTCATTTTGACAGTGATGTGGTACACAATATTAGGTATCTGATGTTGAAGTTCTGCCTTCTCTGCAGGCATTGCCCTCAGTGCCCTTCCTATGTACTTGGGTGAAATCTCACAGAAGCACATCCGTGGCTCCCTAGGGCAGGTCACATCTATTTTCATCTGTATTGGTGTCTTTGTTGGTCAGATCTTGGGACTTCCGGAGATACTTGGCAAGGTTTGTGAACTTGACTTCTCGATTATACCGTTGCAACGACTTCTATTAAAATTCCAACACACCACGATTGCTGTGTGCAGTTACGCAGAAGATGCATTTATTGAAAATGTGCTTATGACTTTATTGCATGTAATGACCTGAGCAATTCCTCTTCATTCTATTTATTTGTAACTCAGCCAGGTAGTTACATCCCTGATAAAAAATATACAATATTTACTTTAAGGATATTTAGAAATCAACAAAAAAAGGACAAAATCACCACTCCCTTATCCAATGGATCAAAAATTTCCAGAACTGTTGCAAAAACTCAGCAAGATTGGTATCTCAGCTGATTTCTCCCAAACCCATTGACAAGGTTGGCAATGTTGACAATGAGGGGAAGTGATTTTCAAATGGATTAAACTATTGGGCCAGGATTTTCTGTGCCAGGTGCCAAATGGTATTGGCCTGACTTGGATTAACCCTGCAATGTTCACATTGCAAAGGCTTTGCCCATTAAGTTGCTGGAAGTGTGCATTGAAAATGGCACAGCGATGAATATAGGACACCTGAACAGAACAACCAACAGTCCTTAACTAAACAGATTTATGGACTGAGAACAAACTGACAAAGAAGTTGAACTAAGGAGAGTGAGTTTAACATCGAACAAGACACAGAAAGAAAAATAGAATGAAAGGAAATTGAATTGAGAGAATCAAAAAATTTTTAAATGTTAGAAAAAACATTATCATTTTAATATTTTTATAATCTCTCTGATGAATCTAAATCCTGAAGGAATGAGACTCCATATATGTAATAATTATTAGCTGATACAGAGAGGTTGATTGGCAGTCATTAACATTCTTAAAGGAATACTTAGGCTTGTGATAACAAGAAGCAATTTTCTGGGGGCCCTCTTGTGGTGCAGTGGTAGTGTCCTTACCCCTGGATCAGGAGGTCCAGGTTGAAGTCACACCTGCTCCAGGAGTATGTGGTAACATATCTGAGCAAGTCAATTAGAAAAATAGGTTAAATAAAAAGAAATTAAGAGCTAACAGTCTGCAGCAGTTTTGGTGGATAGTTAATGGCCAAGTACAGCAGATTCTTTCCAAAATGGTGAGGTTCAAAGAATGATGCTGTATCCACAAAGCTAAGAGTGAACAGCATCTTGGGATATTCTTATTTAACCAAGCCCCTGTTCTGAGGCAGCCTTTGACACACACATAGTGGTGGGCAACATTAGCCTTGCTGCTCATTTAACAGTAAATTCTGGCAACCTAATCTATTCTAGAATGAGCAGAAGCAGCTTAATTTCTGAAACTTAAAGTAATGAAAGTTGCCTTATTACCTTTGGATAATTTACTTATATCTTCTGATCTCTTGTTTAAAACATGACATTACCATAGACTGGAGAGTCTTGCGGAATGCTGTTTCATGTGAAGTTAAAATGAACTTTGATGTTTCAGTTTCCTTTAGCTTTTAGCCTGCAGTGTTTCAAGAATCCCTCAGAAACAGACTCTATAATTTACTGACTGTGAATTGATTTGAAAACTCTGCAAGATGTAATGTCTTCAATGTCCTTCTTGAAATTTCTCTGCATTTTCCCTCTATCCAGACTGTGCAATGCTGATCCATTTGTTATTATAGAGTCTTTTACTCCTTACTGCTGAAGTTGCAACTTTGAACAGTTGGTCATCATTCACCCATGGGAATAGTTTATATGTATCTTGGCATGGGTCTTGAAACCACTAGATCTAGTATAAATCAGAATATCTTTATACTTTAATTTTTCAGAAGGTTGGATGTGGATGGTGATTGGTGGAAATCTCTGTAACATGCTGGCCAATGTTCTAACTCAGGATACGATTGGAGCTCTGTGGGTCAAAGTCTCTCTGACCCTTAACCCCCAGCTCCTGGAGGGTGAAGTCTGGGAGACTTTAACTCATTGACTTGCACATCATGACAATAATTCTGAGCTAATGGTGTTGTGAGTGACATCATCACACGTTGCAGGAGGCAAAATAATTAAGGGAAACAGACGGAGGGTCTCAAGGTTGGTACAGAAAACCTTGGCATATAGAAATTGCTGGGTTACAGCAGGAAGATTCATGATCGGGGCCTGAAGAATCCATAACCATTTTTAGAATTGTAAACGCACCCAGTCGTGACTTATTGTTGCAATCAACTTTTACTGTGAGCCAAAATATTCTGATGACCTCATCTGGGCATGACTCTCATATTTAAAAGAGACCTCAGCCTTTGTGGGGTTAGTGACCTTCATGTCCCTGGGAACAGGGAAGTAAAACATAGTGGGCACCTTCCCAGCTGCCATCATCATTCCCTGGAGAGTGATGGGTGGGGGTGGGGGGAGGAGGAATTGACTATATGATTACCGGCTCAAAATGATCCAGTCACAGTTAGACGCTTTCTTCATAATTACAGCAAGGATCCCTAAACTAGAATGTAGACATCAGTGGTCATGCCAGCACTTATTGGCCATCCCTAATTGCCCAGAGCGCATTTAAGAGTCAATCATATTGCTGTGGGTCAGAGTCACAAGTACGCCAGACCAGGTAAAGATGACAGTTTCCTTCCCTGAAATGTTTTATATTCACAGTGTAATGGTTGTGCAGTAGTTTCACACATTCTTATTTTTGTGAACTAAATTAAATTAAATTAAATTGGTGGTTCAACTTTTGCTATTGTTCTGGTTATCTGTCTGCTTAGTCCAAATATAGCCTTGCTATGAAGTGAGTGGTTTGCTACTTGCTCACTCGACCACTTTCTATGGGTCATTGTTCATCAAATTGAACATGTCCTTGACTGTGTCTGGTCTTCTTCCTGTCCAGATCTGAGTTCATTCCACAGTTTGTGTGATAGACCTGTTGGGTTGGTCCTGATACTTGCTCCTCCCACTGTTGAAATCCCCCAACCCAGGGTAAAGACAGCTGTCATTCACCTTATCTATACCCCTCCGTAAAGTCACCCCTCAACCTGTTATGCTTAAGTGCAAAAAAGCCCCAGCCTATCCAATGTCTCCTTATGACTCAAGCCCTGCATTCCTGGCAACATCTATCTCCATCTCCTCATCCATTCATGCTGTCTACTGCCTCCTGAACATCTACAGTCTGCCTATCTCGCCTACTTTTGCAGTCAGCTGTCAGTTTCTTGCACCTACTGTGCCTCAGTCTGTGTCAGTTGTGCTTGTTGATTGTTCTCTTTCCTGGTTTAGTATCTGCACAACTGTCAGTCCATTACCTGCCTCGTTGCCTGCCTGTCTATGCAACATATTCCTTATTTGTTTACACTACAGTCCCATTATCTGGTTAGCTGTCTGTACATTCAGCCTGTTACCAGTTGTCAATTAATTGCCTGAATGCACACTTTGCTGCCTGTATGTACACTCTCTGTGTATGTACTACTGTTCAACTTCACACCCTTCTTCTTGACGGTCTCTTCTGAATTCTAATGACTCCTGATGAACTGCCAAAACTAGCTTCTAAATCACCCGTAAAGTCTGCTGTCATTTCCTTCGACTATGGACTAGGATTAATGCTCCACCCAGTCCTAATTTGGAAGGGGGATGGTTAAATGGCTGGGTTGATAGCATGTGGGGATCCACTGGCTTGCCACTTCCACCTTGATTAAGTCTGTGTAGGGGGGGGTGAGCCTGTGAACCACCATCCAGTTACACCTTCAATTTAGGCCGTTAATACCAAGCTAAGTGCCTCTTGCTGCCACCACCAATGGGTATTGACCCAGCAATGGGCAGGCCTGTGGCCAAGCGAAGCTGTGGGTGCTGCTTTCTGTTTCTGGTGTTGGGGGGAACCTTAGGTCAAAGCGCCTGACTGAGGGACCCAACTTTGAAAAGGGGGAGTGGAGTGGTGGGTCAGTGAGAGCCACTCCTTGCCCCGGTTGCCAGCCCCAAACCCGCAATATGCCACCAGAATACTGGGGGTTGTTCCTCGGCTGTGTTGCTGAGCAAAGGAGCCGCCGGCCTTTAATTGGCCTCCAGTGTCACCCGAACTTTTAATTTTCCACATCAATCCTACACTGACCTCTCTGCACCTTTCTGATGAAACTTCAGGCAAGCTTTACAAACAGTTTGTTGCTTGACAACCTTTCAAAGTTGACCCTGAGTTTGACGATTTCAGTCAAAATTGTTTACTCCCATATGGTCTGGACAGTAGATGCAAACTATTATTCTGCTACTCAGTGAAGTGCTCCTGTCTTCCATCCTTTAAGAAGGCATTCAGAAGTGATTTACCAGGACGTTGCCAGGAATGCAGGGTTTGAGTCATAAAGAGACATTGGATAGGCTGGGGCATTTATTTCTCTTAAGCATAGCAGGTTGAGGGGTGACCTTACGGAGGGGTATAGATAAGATGAATGATAGGTGTCTTTACCCTGGGTTGGGGGATTTCAAGACAAGGGGGCATATTTTTAAGGTGAGAGGAGAAAGATTGAAAAAGATATGAGGGGCAACTTTTGTACATCGAGATTGATTGGTGTGTGGAATGACCTTCCAGAGGAAATGCTGGATGTGGGTACAGTTAGCACATTTAAAAGACATTTAGGTAAGTACCTGAATAAGACATGTTTGGAGGGATATGGGCCAAGTGCAGGCAGGTGGGACTAGTTTAATTTGGGATTATGGTCGGCATGGACTGATTGGATCGAATGGTTTGTTTCTGTGCTATATGACTGTATGACTCTATCCCATTAAAGATCTTTCCTTTATTTCGCTCCTATTTCTCTTCCTGCCATTGTATTTGTTTAAAGCCTGATAATCTGGACATTTTTCAGTTCGAACGAGAGGTCACCAGCCTGAAATATTTATCTTTTCACATCTTCTGGGAGGGATGCTGAGTATTTTCAGCATTTACTGTTGATACTGCATTCATTGTGTGTAGAATGTGTTCTCCTGAGAAGAGAAAGCTTTATCTAGTGATTAAATGATTTATATTATTATTATTCAGTAATGTTTCCATACTACTAATAGATTATCCTGTTTTCTTCAG